AGAAAATGAAAGTCAGTTGTTTTTATCCCTCCTGATTATTCTGATTATTTTTACACACAAATTAAAAAACAGTGATATTTCTGGTTTTGTGAAATAAGTCAATCCGTTTATTGTACTTGTTGATAAATTATCACAGAGTAAGAAATGTTTCCCTTCTATAATCTGGTCGAATGATAACATTTTGAAGGAAAACTTAGAGTGAAGTTCATCTCTAGATTCATGGCTTATTGTATGATATCTTTTTTTTGTTAATAGTCCATTGGTTTCGATTCCTTTACACTCGTTTTCCTTAGAAATTCACCTTTCTTCAAGAATCATCTTTCATAAATGCATACTTTCAAATCAATTCATCTTACCATAGAGTTAAATTGGATCCCAGCAATTAGTGTTGTTGTATATTGACAATAAGTGCATTTTAAATGTCGTTTGGCAATATTTAGTGATAGAAGTAATCTTCGAAGTTAATGGAACTCTGTAGGTGTCGTAAAATGTAGTCACTTAGCGATGTTTCATGGTTATTAACATAATGTGATCAAAAAGAAACTGTGAACACAATATATGTTAGTTGGAATTAAAATATGACTGCCTTGTTTGGGAAACAATGTAGACATCTGTCCAGTGAACTATTGAAATAAATTCCACTTATTTTACATCTTATATAGCCATTAATTCTTCTTTTTTGAAGCAAAAGTTAAAAACGATAGGTCAACTTGGTCTTTCAACTGCATAATCCCGATAACTACTTTTGGACAAGAATTTTAAGAAATTGGCTATAAGTTGTCATAATTGTGCAAACGATATAGTCTAGTTGTACATTTAGAAAGCTGCAGCTTAGATTTACAGGGGGTGGGATAAATTTGATTTAGTACTTAGTAATTAGTACTTTTCAAATGAACAGTCTGTAAGGATGTGGCTAATTAGTTGTTAAGTAGAAAATAGCTGATTAGTTACAGTTGATAACAAAGTCTTGTTTCATCTTTTTGATTACAGCTTGATTCCACACTGTATTTTTGGTACAAGCATGGAATTTTCAGCATGTGATATCGGTAACCCAAATTTTGCAGGCCGATCATAGATATCAAGTGTGCGTCGACAGGGGATCAAACCTCGACCATATGCTTGGTCGGCGAGAGTCCTAACCACTGTGCCACTGACGCATCAAGTCTTACAAGTCTTTATTCACCAATGTTGTAGCTGAATCAGAAGACCATTAAATTCAGCCAACATAACCTCTCTGATTACATCTTATATAGAAAACCCAATTCATTTTATCGATTTCACTGATTCATTCCGTTGATATCGTTTAGCAGTGCTGCTGAATCAGGGTCAAGTAACTAGTCACTACTAAATAGTTTATTTTGTTTGAAGTCTATGACTTTCTGCGAAATCCACAAAAGCGAATTACAGCAAAAAACTTTCTTTCACAAGTGAAACAGCAACAAGCTTGATTATAGGCAGCGAACAGGTATTTGCTCATGACTTTAAAGTTACTAACTCACCATGCTCAAATCCTGATTTGCTCTGATGCTCTAAATGAATGGATTTGAGAAGACACAAGACGCTGTTCATCAGCTGATTAGTTAAGAATTAGTGAATTTTGATCAAAGTATCTGAAACAACCTAAGCTTTACAGACTAACCTCAATGTAACGTTTAACGATCAGGAGCCTTTTGGTTCGTATCGCACAACTGTCTAAGATTTCATTTCCATTCCATTCATCATATCATTAGCTTTCTGTGTAGAAATATAAAAGCTGCAGAATGATAACAACTTATCCACTTGATATCGTATAATCCAGTAAACTACTTCCTACTTAAAAATGAAATTATAACAATGAGTATGTAATAGGTTTTCATTAAGTTCTTCTCAATGTAGTAACTTTCTTAACCCGGAATTTGTTTCGGTTTGAAAAAGATAGGTCGGTATCCTATATTGTTCTAGTATTATTATGAAGCACAATAAAGCTTCTGTTCAGAGTACTTTTACTGCATTTTTCTTTGATTCACTAGAAGATTTTGAAATAAGCTTGTGAATAATACATTTACGCACGAGTAACTGTTTGACGGAAAACCAAATACGATCACTTACTATTTCAAAGCATTTATTTTTCACTTAACTTGACGGCACAGTTTCAGCTACAGGCGGCATAAATCAGAACGTCAAATCCTGCCAGAATCAGAAAAGAATGACAGGCACTCATTAGACTAGAATTAGTGCGGAAATCAGCTGCAATCAGCGTAATAAACAAGATTCAGGTTTTCAGCACTAATCCCAAGTCAGTAAGGGCTTTTGTATGGTTAACAGACTTTTCGCAAACATCACCGAAATCATTCCAAACAGGTTAATGCAGACTTTATCGACACCTGCCTTCGTTCACTACTGAATCTCAGATATCCAGAAGGGATTATCATCAAGGAACTCTAGGAAACTACCAACCAGGCCAAAAAAAATGTGTGGGAGAAAATGGAGATGGATAGGACACATGCTGTGGAGACCACTAAGAGCAAGACCCTCCGATGAAACCCTAATAGGAAACGGCAAGTTGAAAGTGAGAGAGGGACATGGAGGAGGTAGTAGTGTGAGGAAGGGAAAACATATGAACAATCGTGCAGCCTCAAAGGAAGCTGTGAAATGACAATGTACAGCTGAAGTACTATGTTCCACTCTGAACACAAGGGTATGATAATAATACTTTATATTTCATTTAATAGTCAAATTATTATGGTGATCATAGTGATATACCTCTTCCACCTGTTTATTTTGGGAATTCTGTCTTTTAGCTATTCTGTATTAATCAAAATGGAAAAGATATGAAACATCGAACAAAGCCACTGGAATAAAGAATAAAAAACAGGGGCAATATACTTGTAAGCACTCTTAGAAGACATTGATTAGCTGAAGGCATGTGTTTGGCTCAACCAAAAGAAGTAGATAAGTGATAATTAGATTACACAGCAACTGAAGTCATCATATATGACTTAAAAATAAACTACATTTCTCTTTGTTTAAGGAGTTTATTGAAAATAATGACCATTTTTATAATCTATTAAGTCCGGGTGGTGAAGTACTTTCGTTTTTTATATGTCATACAGACAGATTTTGAACAAACTGATGTGCCGACAATTGGAGGTAGTCTGCAGGAAGCCATTGATCCATGATTCGTGCTTAGTGGCACCCATCAAAAATGCGCGTCAGCAAGCTAGAAGTAAATAATGGCCCCTTTGGGGATAGAAGCCATACTGGAACTAAAGACGATACTAGTGAGCTAATCAAGCTTTTATTGGGGTCTTGTAGGACTCCAGTAGATTTAGTAATTACTTAAAAGTGTGCAACCAATGTTACTTTTCCTAGTCGTCAGTGATGACTGAATTCTAGCGATCAATTTTGCAATAAAAACTTATAATCTTTCAGGGTTGTAGGCATTCAGCATTGATCATATTTCCAAACTAGCAAAATATGAAACGTAATATATATATATATATATATATATATATCAGACACATAATGAGTAACTTTCAGTTAGCCAGATACACCTTGAGTAAAACTGAGTGCTTGTTTCTAGGTCATAACAACTCTGAATAGAGCGGTATGTAATTAGCTTGCATCTGTTATGATTGTTGCCTATGTATACAGTTTCTTCGATTGGTTTTTGATAGTAAAAGAACTGAACTCAAAAAGACCTTTGAAAATAACGGTTGCAATGCAGTTACTAAGTCACCAAGTATATAGTTTTGATTTCTGTTTGAGTGGACGAAGAGCTGTCTAGATGCGTTGACCAATATTTTATTGTTTCGCCATCAAAAGGGTCAATTCCTACGCTACGGATGATTCTAGATTTCTCACAAAGATTTTGATTTCTATCCTTTATGGTGGTTAAGTTTACGGACAGTTGTCATTTTTTCAATGTAATCTGCAGAATACTGCTTCTTTAGAACATCTGATGTTACATATTTACGCCCAGTCAAAAATATCCTTTGGAATCCTACATTTTACCGAAAATCTTTCTGTAGACAACTTTTAGCCACAGCTAACTCGCATCCAAACATTTCATTGCAACATACAATAGCAACTATCCTTTGATGGTTCAGATATTGGTTTGAATTAACAAACTTCCGTGCTTCATCAATGAACTGGCCATACCTAACTTTACGACTGATTAGGGACGATATTTTGTTCATGGTGAATCTTTTAAATTATGAGTCTCCTTATGGAAGTGCGTCAGTTGAAGTTGCTAAAATTCGTAACACTGAAGAAAATAGAGCATAGAAGATTGAAATATATCGGAGTAGAATAAAAAGAAGAAAGAATGTGTCAGCGGGATAAAGGAAAATACTTCAAAATTTTCGAACAAGATAAACTGTAGATTGGTGTACATTATCTTAGTCGGCTGTGTTGTGCCCCAGCTAGACTCAAACCCTTGACTTTTTTTTGAGAATTCATTCAGGAAACCTCCATCTTCTTCACTTGGGGTTTCTCTTAACCCACGCTCACTTCAGCTAACATGTTTTTAGAGAAAGGCTACTGCTTGACATGCCCTGATCACCTTAATAGGTGAATATAAAATGAATAAATAACTTGGATTTGAGTAACACAAATATGTTCAAGAATACAAGTCCCCAGGACATTCGTAATATCAACACTTAAATAAACAATTTACTGATACAGTCACAGTTTTTAATCAGTTTATCAAGCTCCTAATAAAAATTTCTTATCGTATATCAGGGAAATCAGTCCTAAATATAACCCAGCATGTATCAGATCCATAATTATTATTCTCTACCATGAGAATTCTGATTAGCTTTATATTAGAATCATGTTACTCTGACAATCGCTTTACTGTATCAGTTTGAATGAATTCTGACGCCTCACAAAAACCAAGTAGCCGTAAGAACTTACCTGAGAGTCTAAAAATATTCTCTTTATGTTTATTTATAAGAAACACTAGTAGCATGCATAAAGCTGATGAAATGTTGTTAGAGGAAAACAAACAGTATACGTACCAATATGTCTATGATGTCTTATCGCTGTTATCATACCAAGATGATGACGTCCATGGTGTTCTTTACGCTTTGTTTTTTCCCCCTGATGATTATCACTTGTTGAAAATTGATTTTCACTTAAATATTTTTCATAATCTGGATGCACTAGATGATTTTCTTCATAACGTCCAAAGCTGTGCCAATCATTCATGTGACGTTCATGTAATTTAAACATATAACTTGGTGTTTTAGCCATTAACTCGGCTTTCGAAGGTTTTGGAGTAGTTTTATCATATTTGAAAAATTCATTACTGATACTATTGAAACTACTACCTGGCGTTAAAATAGGCGTATAATCCAAACGATTTTGATCTCTTAACAAATCTGTCTGGGACTTTATTATTTTCTCCAATAAGTAATTCCATGTTCTTAGCTCAGACTTTGTTAAAATCTCTGCATTTATCTGTTTTCCTATTGAGGATAAAGAATGAAGTAGATTAACTAAGTTATATTGATTCGGTGAGCTGGAAGATTCTTGACTTTGTTTAACGGCTTCAGTGCTTCCAATTTTAAAAAGATATAAGAAACTAACAATAGTAATCCATGTTAAATAGACACTAAAAGTTCCTTTACATGGTTTGTTAGCAGCTCTATCATAGCGTTTTTCAATCAATGTACCGTTTGTACAGTGTGCTGATGAGTGATATTTTAATGGTCTTCTTTTTTTCACCTGAATTACCGATGGTTCAATAAACTGTTCACTTTCAATACAGACATTGTTACCATCATCATTGTTGGTATGAATTAAATGCTGAAGTTTATAAGTGTTGTAAGAAGTATAATATGTGTAAAATAAATATTGGATCAATAAATGCAAATAAATAGGGAAAAATTTTAATTTATTGACTGCATTATTAAAAATAATGAGTAAAGTTGTTTTGTTTAAACTGACACAGATTAATTTACATGTCCACTTTAAAAGTTGACTTTTTCTAATAGATGATGTGCACTGATATGATCCAATTTTTTCAACAGAATATTTTACTTGTAAAAATTTTTCTAATACATTATCGAAAAATTCATTGAATTTGTATGCAGAAATAGTTTTCCGTATTGAAAAGAAATCTTCTAATGATAGACGACTAAGGTTAGACGTTTTGAGAAATATAACTGTTGACGGCGTCAAATTGTATAGCTTTGTCCTTTCTGTTTCCATAGCATAAGGACGCATTCCTAAGGTTACTACTGCTTTGGATGTTGACTAATGGCGCCGATTGATTGTCGCCAAGGTATTAAGTTTGGCGCCGTATGACCTACAATCGACAGGTATGGAATAACTGACTTTTCCCCCATTATCTTATACTTCTATTTATCATTAGTACAAAAAGAGAGAAAGTTTTATAAAAAAAAAAGAGGTAGAGAGGGAATGAAAGAGAGAAGGATAGAAAGATAGATAGGTAGATAGAAATACACACAACCTACACCCTTAAAATAAGGGTGGGAAAGGACTATTTAGGACAGACATAAGCTATTACATGCGATCACCCACAATAATCACTTATCGTGATTATGTGGAAGAAAAAGATGACGCTACTTAGAGCGTAGTGGTTCACACCCTAAGAAAAATTTCATTACACTTGTTGAACTTGAATATTATTGGTCAACCAGTTTTTCAGAATTAAGGGGTGTATATTTTACAATGTTTTAATTGGTTTAAATTCTAGCCATATTAGCAAACTGAAAATAATCTGAACACTAGAATGAAGATTACTGTGATACCGTTGCTTATGGAGACATTTTTGTTACTTGTATCTAGGTATGCTACAATCTTTAACCAAACTATGAAATTACTGTGGATGAGGTAGAGAAATGTGTGCATGCATGCGCCTCTGTTTCAGACATACAAAAAGGTCTATTTATAGTCTGATTAATAATAGCAGTTTATTTACAAATGAATTTTAATTTGTGTACACTGACTAGGAAGACATTTTGGTAAAATGTCATTCAAATTGAAAATTAATAAATATTCACCGTGAATATATATATATAATCACTACTGAGATCAGTTCACGGTTTATCGACGGCTCCATACATTATGTCTGAAGTGGAGAGTACTGGTTAACTAGCACTTGTTTTTTTCCAGTTACTTTGACTAATGTAGACCACTGGTAGCAGTAATTTAATTATCACGTATTACCACCATATCTAAAATACAGTGTCATTCCAAAGACCTGAGTAACACAACACGCAGAACTGTAATTGTATTTTTAAAATGAAATCTTCACTATCGGATGATCTGAACTAGAATATTCATTTACATAACTGGAATAATCACAATTAATATAGTCAGACAGTGATATTAGTTAGTTGGAAGCAATCGGCAGGAAGCCTTGGACATAGGATTTGTGCTAGTTGGCACTCGTCAGCAAGGCGTATCTGCAATCTTCGAGGAACTCATGTTCCTTCTGAGATTCGAACCCTCGTTAGCGAGTGCTGCAGTCAGAGACGTCACCACTGAGCTACTCGGGCTCGCGACTGACCTCCTGTAGGAATGTAGTGGGTATTATATTCACAGCTACTTACATCATGTTTTAAATCTCTTCTGTAGATTCACCTGAATGCAAATGGATATTTTTTTCATCATAACTGAAACGTCTAAGGTTAACTGGTTCAACATCTGAAACTACATAAGAAATGACATCATTCAATAGGTGTGTCTATCGTCCTTTTACAGGGTGGATCAGGTTTATTCAGATGACTGTAGATTATATTAAGACCACATATAAAAAAATATAAAATTGTATGATTTTTTGTAAAGTTACTGAACTGATCAATTCAACTAATGTTTGAATTTGAATTTTCTGATTTATGAAGATATCTAATTAATTGTTCTTTTGGTGGTCATTTATATGAATTTGAATTCCATCGAAAAAAGTTCTATAAATGAATCAAGATTTGACTATGGATTATTAACAATGACAATATTCTGCCAACTCTGTAATTATGTAAAGTGACGAAAATAAAGTCGACGGACGTAAGACGAAATAACTTTAAATCAATACATATGAAGCAGTTGCATCCACCCTATATTTTCACATACAATTTTTAGGTTGAAAACACCCACCACTTCTTAGGCATTTTATCATCTTCTGAACTATCATTTACAATTTTTCTTACTAATTTCTCGTCTTCTTCTTCACTTGGATGAGATGATGTTAAACTTGACAGCGTGTACCAGTACACAATTATGTGAAACAACAGATTGTTTATATTCACTATCTTGTCTACCTATCTTCATTTCTTATACATTTAGTAAATACAATTACCATAATCTCTTTAATGTTATTTTACAAGGCAAGTGAAGCAAGCCACCTAAAACTTACTTTTAAATGAAGGCAGTGTAAACACTGAAATTTTCCCTGTTTCCTTTTTACCCTTTTTTGTGAGAAATCAGCTTTTCTATGCTTCTATTTCTCTGAGAACTGCATGTGTTGTTTTTTCCTCCTAACTATTTAGTTTAAACATCCGAGAAGAGTAACTGAAAAGTTAGTAACTATACAATTATTTACGCATACGCTCTAGTCGGCCACGTATTTTTCATGATGAACACTCTTATTTTTGTTGACATTTCCTTCGAAAAGAAATATATTCTTCCTAATTTGATTTAGTTTCTAAAGTAAATATTATCAGAGATACGAAAATTAACTATCTGGCACAGAGTTGATCGATTCAAAAATTGTATTTAAAACGACTAGAAAATACAAGTCAACTTCTGGTGTCTTAACAGTTGTATGTTAACAAGATTTTTAGAATTATTGGCACACACAAACAGTCATATAAATATGTCTGACTATTTACTTTGTGTGTGTGTGTGTGACACTTTTTATTTTATATTTTTGCTATCTCAACTTCAATGAAAACTGAAATTCGAAAATTAGGTGTACTTCTGTGTGATCACTGTCCACCTCATTAGTAACATCCTCCTCCTTCTGCTAATCATCAAGTGTCAGTTTAGTAAGTGAAATTCCGACAATAAAGATTATTCAAACCACAGTATTACCCCTGATTATCTCTTTTTTAAACGCATATGCACACATACACACACACACACACACAAACACGCCTTCGGCTGTCTAGATAATTCATAAAACTGGAAATGTCATGCGCATGTTTTCTTTTCAAAGAAGGGTTTTTATTTGCTTTCAGCCACAAGGATAATTTTCATTTGTGGTTATGGTTGTTGCTGTTGCGTTGAATACATTAGTTTATACAAAATCACAAGTTAATGTGTGTAAACAATATCTTACCCAAATCTATGCGCGCACACACACACGCACACATACATACATATACAATCATATTAAAGATATGATTTATATGGGGGAAAAAAACTACAAATTTTCCACTTCTTATTTCTGTTGTACTATGAAATTGAAAATGGCGCCAAAATACTCTATTCAGACCACCTCATGTAAAATTTTTAAAACAAAACACAACAGAAAAAAAACAAATATCTATGTTGGTTTTGTAGGGATTTCGTTTGATTGTATGTGTATGATTACATGTCAAAAAATGAAAATGTGTGTATAAATATGTTTATGAGGGTCTATATTAATGTATGTGTGCGTGAATGTGTAAAATGGGTAGCCTGGGAAACTTATTTTTCTAAAAGGTTAGAAAACTGATTAACTGTGATGAAAAGGTGGATGAACGTCATTGCTACTTATTAACCAATAATGTGTGGGCTAATTGCAAAACAAGATATCCCTGTTTCTTTTCACAGAAATGTGACAGTTATAATTTGAAAGTGAAAGTGGCCTGTCAAATCTTGTTGACTTAACTAAGAGAAAAGAAGCGATGTAAAAGAGCTAAAAATTGGCACATATGAAATACACAGATCCTACATATATATATATATATATATATATATATATATATATATATATATATATATATATATATATATATATATATAATATATATATATATATATGTCACGTGTTACTGGTTGTACAGTATTCTCATTGTTTTGATTAGTGAAATATGTATAGATTTCAGATAACCATCACAGTCCGAAATTATTTTGTTAGGTGTTACAAACAATGGAAAAATGATTACGTTATTGTCTGAGGGCTTTAAATGAGTAAAATTCCATTAGTGGCATTTACATGAATTCCTTAACCTTATTGGCACTTAAAAATGTCGGCAGATTTAATTAAACCACCATCAAGATCCCTTCACTTAACACTTGACTGTTGCATTGACTACTACACAGTGAAGTGTTCGTGTACAGTCTCCTGTTTTTCAGTTGATTATTCATTACCTAAAAAAATTATTGGTACAGTCTGCGACACACGTGGCTTCGATCAAAGGCTTCTCACAAGTCTCCTGTAATTTTCCGATGTGCTCGATTGATCATGGCCAAAAAGCACAGTACCAATACTGTATACAACTATCTTCTAGTTGATTTCTAATAACTAGACTTAACACTCGATGCATTAAGGAGATGAAATCTGGAAATACAGAGTCACGAAAATAATTGAGAATGTAAACTGTAAATCTCAACACTTTAAACTTAATTGTATGGAGGATTTCATCATGAGCTGACATCACTGGAAAACCTGCGAGTACTAGACATCTGTTTCGTCCAAGTTTGGGAATCTTCATCAGTACCCACCCACACCACGGGGTTCGAACCCAGGACCTTCTGGTTACAAGGCAAGCGACCTCGTAGACCATTGAGCCACTGGTACCCTATCCAATGGTTCTTGAATTCTAACTTCTGCTAATTCACGACACAGCGCGACCATTTTGCAATGTCTTCTTCGACTAGTTACTGACTCATCTTCGACCTGCTGTACCCTACTGGTCACGGCTTCTCACTAGAACCCCTGTCTGAATAGGGTCAGTCGCCAGTGAGCATCAGATAACTTTTCAATTATTGGTTTTGCAGGGATTTTTTTTATTGTATGGAGGATTTCATCATGAGCTGGGTTCGAACCCCGGTGGGTGCGTAATGATGAAGAGTTCCAAACTAGGACGAAACAGCTGTCCAGTATTCCCAGATCTTCCAGTGGTTCTCTAATTGATGTCAGCTCATGATGAAATCCTCCATACAATAAAAAAATCCCTACAAAAACCATTACTTTAAATTTAACTGAACTACTGACAGACATTTCCACTCAACAAATTATTCCTAAAATGCTTTCGTGAAGAAATACATGTATGAAACGTTTTGCCTTAGAAAATCCAGCTATTTTGAAGAAACGTATTAATTAATAATGCATTTTATTTAAAACAAATTGTGGTCTAAAGCAACTAGTTCCGCTTGTAAATGCAAACAAAAACAATAAGAAGACAGTTTATCTGAAACA